TATCTGGCTAATGGCTCTGTGCAGGGCTTGGGCGGGGCGGGTCACCGGGGATCTACAGGGTGGGCGGAGAGAGCAGTTATGGCTGCTCTCAGTTCTGTCCCTAGGGGCTCTGCCTCTCAGAGTCCCAGCAACCGCTGCAAACCTCAGAGAGAAAGCTGCCTTTGAGTTCCGACTGAAGCCAGACAGTCCTGCTTCTCCCGTTTGAGTCTGGGTCCCTAGAGACTCGCCCGGCTTTGGAGCTCAGAGTCTGAAGCTCCCTCCTGATTGAAAACAACCGTGCCTCTGCTGCCAGCCTGCTCCACGTGCACTCCACACCTGAGTGTTTCACTTCAGCTCTGCGCCTCCTCTGAGTCTGGGTATGATATTTTCTTTCCTCCTAGTTGTAGAATTTCCACTCAGCCAGCCTTCCTGTGGTTCTGGATGATGTCCTTCCGTCCTTTAGTTGTATCTCTGAAGTGGTTGTTCGAGACAGCAAACTCTGGCGTTAACCTATGCCGCCATCTTGGTTCGAGAATGTTTTAGATAATGTATGTGAAGCAGTTGGCATAGTGTCTGATCTATGGCAAAAGCTTACTAAATGGAAGTTCTTCTTATATTAACAATAATTTCTGTTATTGGGTGGTTGGAGGGAAAAGAACCAAGATGCTAGCTAGGAGACATAAAATCTAAGGGTGCTGCCAATTATAGTCCTAAGGAAGGACTAAGTGGGATATTATTTTGTTTTTATTCCAATGGGTCAATTTGTAGTGGATGTATCCTAGGGCCCCACCAGGTAGGGACATGGTGAAAAAAGCAAAAAGCAGATGTAGTCATTAAGTCTGAACTTAGTATGGAAGGATAAGCTGGATTTCCACAGATGTGTAGGAACTGGGGTATAGAGATGGGTACTGCTGGGATCTAGCCCCAACAGGTCCAGGGGTCCCCAAAGGTGTGGACGGAGTCGGCGAAGAAGGAAGGACACGGAAGCAGCGTTCAGTTGATCAGCAGCCTAGCCAGGATCTCTAGCCAGGATCTCCAGCCAAGTTCTGTCGGTTCTCTTGCCAGGTTCTCCAGCCAGGTTCGGTCACCAGGTTCTATCCAGGTTCTTTTGACATGTTCTCTCACTAGGTTCTCCAGCCAGGTTCTGTGTTTTAGTGTCTTGTTACATCTGTATTTATACCAGTTGATTTTAATCCTATCAATTTTCTCAGGGAGGTGGTCCTGTTTAAAACACATAGCGCTAAGAGGGGGAGCAAACATATGCCATATACACCAGGTCCCTTGAAACATCTGCTGTGCAGATGTTTCTTCCCTGCAGCGACTGTGTCAAGCAGCAAGGATGGACCGGCTCCCGCCAGGGTACAGGGTATACTAAGGAGATGCACAAAAAACTGTCGAGCATTTTCAGGGGGAAAAATCGACTATGCTGGTGGTACACGGTGTATATGAAAGCTGTGAAGGGAAGGCAAGTAGATTTATTTTATTCTCTAGGCAATATTGAACCATTAAAGGTGTTTAATTGTGAGATAACATTAGGTGGTTTAGATTTAAGAAAAGTCACTTTATATAAACTGAATTAGTTGGTATGAGCAGTAAACATTGGTCAGCAACTCCAATGCATACAGTGGCTGGACAAGATATGTAAGTACTTGAAACACAAAAGTACTTGTAGTGTAAGACAAAAGGGTGTAGAGGGTGAATGTCTAGTCTAAAGAGGACAACTACCACTCTGGGTAATTTTTCCAACTCAGATCCTGGGCTTAATGCTGTCAGTTCATCTCATTTTTAAAATAATCAGTAGAAATATAAATTTCTGTCTTTCAGTTTTTAAATGTGGCAACTGATATGAAGTTTGAACATACATTGTGGTGGTCTAATAAAACACTGGTTGGATTTTGCCTATGAACTGCATTTGTAGCACCTGGACTAAAGGTATTGAGACCAACTGTGACACTTTTAAGTTATCTCTTGAGATGAGAGGTAACTGGAGTAGTAGTTATGGGACTGTCAGGGAGGGGATAGGTAGAATAAGTTCAGTGAGAATGCACAAATCTTAGGGACAGATTTGATATGGAAAATAAAGTGAAAATAAAGCATAGATTAAGAGGGGGAAAGTGTTTGTTTTTTGAGGAGACAAGTGCAATTTTTAGATACATGGTATGGAGTATACTGGCATAGTCACCTATAGAGATGACCACTATGTAGCTGAAAATGAAGACCTGCAGATCAGAAGAACTGCTGAGGCTATACTATGAGATTTAGGAGTCATCTGTATACAGATGCATTTGTAAGCTATGGGGACAGTTGAGATCTCCAAGAGAGAAAGTGTAGAATATTATGAGGGTCAAAGACACAGCCTTGCTGAGCTTAGGGGACTGGAGAGCTATTGGTGGTATAAGGAGGAAGACAAGCCTATGGGGGAAAAAAATAAAGGCTTAGGACATAGAACGACCAGAGTTATACATCATGGAGGCCCCAGGGAGAGAAAACTTTGATGTAGGAAGAGGTAATTAGCAATTTTAAATAATGCCAAGAACTCAAAATGGCAAGGGTCTGGAAATAGGCTAACAGATGTGATAGTTAGAAGTAATTGGTGCCTTATAGGAAAACAGTGGGGGGCAGAATAAATTGCTATGTCTCTTGTGAGAAATTTGAGAAATGAAGGAGTGAGATGGCATCGTTGCTTGAAGTCAGGGTCAATTTTTTTTAATTGAGGAGGAAACTGAATATGTATGTAAAGGAGAAGGAAAAATAAAGAGTGAGAGGGTGGAAGATTCCAGTTGGCTGCCATAACAAAATACCATGGGTTGGGTGGCTTATAAAACAGAAATTTATTTTCTCAGTTCTGAAGGCTGGGAAACCTAACGTTAAGTGTCAGCCCAGTCAGTTTTTGGTGGGGGCTCTCTTCCTGATTTGCAGGTAGTCACCTCATTGCACTCTGACATGACTGAGAGAGCGAGTGAGCTCTCTGGTGTTTCCTTTTATAAGAACACCAATCCTATCATATCAGAACTGTGCCCTTATGACCTCATTTAATCTTATATGCCCTATCTCCAGATATAGTCATACTGAGGGATAAGGCTTTAGCATATGAATTTTTTGGGTACTATCTAGTCCGCAGCAGAAAAGAAAGAGAAGATGACTGATAAAACAAAATTCTAGAGGAGATACCAAAATAAATAAATAAATAAATAATAGGATGATGAACAATGGTTAGCGACGTTAACACTGCTCTCTCTAGCAAAAGAGGAAGTTTGTAATCAAAGTACTGAAACATTTTTAAACAGGACAGACATTTTGGGATTTTGCATTAAATGGCCTCGCTCTTCTTTGAAATGCTGCATTCTCTACCTCTGTGGTCTGCTATTATCCATCTTTCAGAGTTATCTGATTGTTACTTTATATAGTTTGAGATTTTTAGTTGTAATCAGTAGGAAAGGTTGTTATGGAAGGCACTTGCTTTATCTTAACTAAAACCGTAGCCTCTCTGTATAATTTGTAACACTTTATTCAATCTTTTCCACTAGGTTGAATGCTTATTGAGAGTAATACCTGAGAATAGTGTCACTATATAGCAACACATCCAGTTCAGGATCCAGCACACAATATTTGATATGTGGTTTAAATCCAATAGAACACTTTTACTCGGGTTTAATAGTTTTGGTATTATTTTTATTAAAGCAGAGGATCATTTCTGTTTTAAAGCTTGTGTAGCTTCCCAACCCTTGATGGGAGTCATCCTCATATTTAAGTAATACTTTGTGTCTTTTTTTATGGCTAACAAATATTCTTTTAGTTTTAATTTGGACTCCTGCTTTGTTTTGCAGTGCTGAAACATTTTTGTTGGAGAAATGTCTTCAAAGACAGAAAAGGATGAAGAGAGGCTGATTCAAGCTGCCAAAACATTCTTTCTTTCCATTCAAGATTTTGCTTCCTTCACAAACACACTCACCGAATTGTTCAATAGCTGTATGAATTCTAAGATCATCACAATGGCTGTGAAAGAAGATAGTTACGTTAAGGAAGTCTTTGAACAAATGGTCAGAATTTTTAGGGAGATGCAATCTGTAGTGAAGGCCAAGGATGACAACGTGCAAAAGCAACCTTTATTTTCCAAGATTGCAGCAGTGATGGGCACTGAGAAGAGTACGGATGATGCAAAAGAGTTGCAGTCGTCATATAGAGAAAAGGTAGCACAAGTCAATATACCATTCATTGTCTCTCTGATGAGTAGTGGTAACATCATTGCAAATTTGGAATCTGCTCTTTCACTCTTGCTGATGCATCCCATCATGAGTCTTCAATTAAGTGACTTCTATAGACAAGACACCAAAGGGCAATCAGATGCTACCACATCTGAGCAAAGCCCAAGGGCAGGTCCATCCACAACCACGACAGTAGGCACTGTGAAAAAGTTGCAGAATGCACTAAGAATTGCGAATGCTAAGAATACCACTGAGTCAGCCGCAGAACAGTTGGAGCAAATTGTTAAAAATATGAGACCAACCTTAGAGATCCTCCAAAGGGCCATACGGACGATGGAAATTAGTGCTTATGGGGTTAAGAAAGTCAATGACTAGTAGAAGTGCAACAGAAGTGCTAATTTCTGGCAGAAAATGAGTTCAAAATCCTGTGAGTTTTCATAGCATTTTTAGATCTTTGATGCCAGACATGTGGTCTATTGGGACACTGGTGCAAAGAGTAGTCACTTGGCAAACAATTTACTTCAAGTTTGCTTTAGTCAAATAAAAATAATAGAAAAGCCCACTTGAAATGGTATTACTAAAAACAATTTATTGTTAAAAAATCAATGTAATATTACAGTTGAGGATGTTTCTAAACATTTTACATCATCTTAAAGAATGGTCTAAATAACCTTAAACTAATTTTCACTCTTAGTAATTCTATTCCTAGTTACTACAGTGCAAATATAAACATTATCAATAGATAATCTGGCAGAAACGATGTTCAGAATTAGGAAGTATATAAAGTAACCCTCTGCATTTTTGTCACTCATATACCAATTTCTATATACCTCAGGGCCTAATCAATATTTTTTTATGAGAAGTAATAGAATTTTATTACAAGAATAACATTAGAGTATATGATTTGTTTTCATTGGTCACCTACTGAGATCTTATGATTAGCCTATATTAGAGGCTGAAAATTGGAGGTGATCTAATCTTCCACAATGAAATTACCATGACACTAGTTTGAGATGTGCTTGTATCGGGGAAGAAAAGTTAGATAAGTCCATTTATCTACCATAAAGTCTTCGGCTCTCATGCATTATAAATGAATTTATGCTCTCAAGATTGCCCTGTTTCACTTGACAACTAACAGGAACTTTGTTGAGAATAAGAAAAGCAATTATTAACTCTAGTTATTTGTTGGAATTTTCTTTTTGAGGGAAAATGCTTAAGTTATTTTCTTTACTTAAACATTTCCTCATTTAAAATGTAAACCTTATTTTCTCCTTTAAAAAGAAAATGTCTCTGTACTCTGTTAAAAAAAAAAAAGCCTGGCTGGTGTGGCTCAGTGGTTGAGTATCAACCTATGAACCTGGAGGTCAGGGTTGGATTCCTGGTCAGGGCACATGCCCAGGTTGCGAGCTTGATCCCCAGTGTGGGGCATCCAGGAGGCAGCCAGTCAGTGATTCTCCCTCATCATTGTTGTTTCTATCTCTTTCTTCCTCTCTTCTCTGAAATCAATAAAAATATATTTTTAAAAAGAGGCTGAAACATGAGAAACTGAAAGGGAAAGAAATTACTTGCGAGCTTTTGATGAAGAGGGAAGAAGGTATTCTATGTACTTTTTAGTCTTCTATGCAGTCACTCCACCAAGGTAACCTCCTTACTTATGGCTGCTTGAAAGTTGCACTTTTGTTAGCCCAGCCAAGAAAGTTGCACTTCTGTCAGCTCCAAAGCCAAGGCTGTCATTGTAATTACCGCTGTAATCTTAACTAAGGCATTCTTTCCTTGCTCCCTAACAATAAGACCATCACAATATCCAGTGGTGAGGGTAAAGGGGATTTTGACTATTTCCAGTGTTTAGAGGGCTTGGAAAAAGCATGCATTTTCATACATGAATTCTGCATTTTGTCTCAGCTCCAAAGCTGAAACCTCGTTCATTTGCAATAGATATCCGTTAATTGGTGTCTTATATTGAGGAAAATCTTGAGCTGATTCATTTGCTATTCTCCCCTCAAAAATACACATATATAAATGGGAGTAGGGAGGTGCTGCTCTCACTTTGCTGCTTTTTTTGGAACCTGTCTGTGTCCTGGGTTTCATTCCCTCCTCTTGGTTGTAGTTTGTGTCTCAGAATGTTTCAACAGCTGGGGGGATCCACGTGGAAATGAATGGGACTACGGAATAAAAATAAGGGAGTATCCTTATATTCATCATAACTCCTCCAATTGCTTGAAATAAAAAGTTTAATTCAAATTATTTAAGCGAAAATATAGTTTATTGATTTATATAATGAAAAGCCTACAGTATGCAATTTCAGGAACAGTTGGATCTCGGGTCACTCTCATCCGGACTCAGTTTTTTTCATTTCTTAGCTCTTCCTTTACTGTGTTAGCTCCATTCTCAGGGAGGTATTAATCTCCACTAAAAAGAAAAAAAAAAAAAGGCCCATCCAATTCCCAAAGCCAAAGAAGTGTCCCAAATTTATCTCATAAACTCTGATTGTGTCATTTTCTACTCCAGCACGATCTCTGTGGCCATGGAGAAGAAACATACTGAGTTACAGGCCCACTCAAAGGCAGTGGGCTGAGTCAGCTCTGCATTAGCTGATGGGGGTGGGGGACACAGAGTTATTCTGCAAGGATATACAGGGTACCTTGACTGGAATAAAGCCAAAGGGTTCAAGAAAAGCAAAATGACAAAGTTCCTTTATACTCCACTTTTTAAAAAATATATTTTATTGATTTTTACAGAGAGGAAGGGAGAGAAGTAGAGAGTTAGAAACATCAATGAGAGAGAAACATCGATTAGCTGCCTCCTGCACACTCCCTACTAGATATGTGCCTGCAACCAAGGTACATGCCCTTGACCGGAATCGAACCTGGGACCCTTGAGTCTACAGGCTGACGCTCTATCCACTGAGCCAAACTGGTTAGGGCTATACTCCACTTTTTAAAGAGATGGTGACAATGGTCAAAAAGGAGAGAGCAGCAATAACTACAGGAGCAGGGATGCACTTTTTGCTGGAAGCTGTAAAAACAAACAAAAGAGAGATATTTTAGGTAGCAGAGATTGAAAAAAAATTACCTAATTTCTTCTTTGATTCAATTTTTTAACTTAGAAAATTTATAATAAAAGTATTCAAAGTTAGCTACTTTGAAAAAAGTATTCTCAGATATTTATAATTAACAGAACTCAGCTTACATATTTCGAAGATGATGAAAGAGGCACCATTTATTAAGACATTTATTTCAAGTTACCAAGCTGGTTGGTGGTAGAGATCTCCTGGTTTTCTATCTTTATTATTATCAGCATCCCCATCATCCCCGTCTTAATTATCATCTTCATCATCATTATGAAAGCTAACATTGATTAAGTAATTTATTCTGTGTTAGAATCTTTTTTAAGCACTTGCTATAAATAAACTCAATCGTCACAACAATCCTTTGAGGTAGTTATTTGCATTATCCTCATATTTTGTTGAGTACAACTGTGACACAGAAATGTGAAGACCCCAAATGTGGTGGACTGCAGCATGAGGTAGTTATTTGCATTATCCTCATATTTTGTTAAGAAGCCTTGCTGAGCACAAAGCTGAAGACCCCAAATGTGGTGGGCCCTTACCCGGAACACAAGCAAAGCTAGCCAGTTGCTAGACTGAACTGTGTTTTAATATGGAGAGGAGACTCTGGGCAGTGCCCTTAATTCTCCACCTGCTGAAGACAAGACTGAACTTTTTCCAAGGTGGGGTGGAGGTATATTGAAAACCCAGGGGTTTAATTTTGTGGAAATAAAGATCCATTCATCCTCCCATGCCAGTCTCAGGAAATACCTTTTCTTGTGACATCGCAAGAACTCTACTTCCACTGGTAACAGATGGGGACAAATGGGGAGCCCCACCAATAACCCTTTGTTTCTATTCTTACTGTAAATATTACTGAAGCATACATTTGCTCCATTGAACTACTATCCCACTTCCATATCCACAATACTTTCCTGGAGTTTTTCAGTTGTGTTTGTTGCTATCAACATTTCCTCTAGGCAAGCAATGCCTCCATTTTATAAATGAAGGGACAGGCTCAGACTTTGTCATTTACATATCTACTAACATATGCCCAGTTTTACTGGCTCAGAAGTCTATTTTCTTTTTTTAAATATTTTTATTGATTTCAGAGAGGAAGAGAGAGGGAGAGAGATCCAAACATCAATGATGAGAATCATTGATTGGCTGCCTCCTGCACGCCCCCTACTGGGGACTGAGCCCACAACCTGGGCATGTACCCTTGGCCAAAATTGAACTTGAGACCCTTCAGTTCATAGGCTAACGCTCTATCCACTGAGACAAACCAGCTAGGGCCAGAAATCTATTTTCTTTCCACGCCATGTGCTTGCTCTCTTAGATTCATTCAATTACATGCTCATTCTTTCATCCAATTGTCTGAGATAGACATTTTACTTCAAGGTGAATGTGATGCCAAAATAGGTAAAACTAATTTGAAAAAATTAAAACCCAGAGTAAAAGAAAGCAGGAAACAGGAAGTTAATAAAATAAAATAAATAATAATAATGATAATGGTAATAGTAGTGAAAACATTTTGAGTACTTAGATGTATCAGATACTATTCTGAGTGTATTTACTCCTCAGAATCAAATAAGGTGGGTTTTATTTAAAAAATTATTTCTATTTTACCTGTAAGAAACAGGCACAGACTAAGCCATTTGCCCATGTTTTCACTGCTAGCAACTACAATTGACTATCTTTTTTTCTAGAAACATGCTTAAGAATTTTGATTATGTTAAACATTTTAACAAATAAATCCCTCTCCTTTGTGAATTCAGTGATACAGAACAGTATGTATTTGTGTGTCTACAGATTTTTGGCACAGATTATTTTGCCTAAGAAGCAACATTTAAGGGCAAATAACTAACATACACTAGCTTGCCAAATACTTTGAGTCTTTCCATGGGCCTGAAAACATCTGTTTCTATAGTAACCAGTATAGGCCATGCGAGGAGAGAAGAATTAGAAGGGAAAGCTATTAGTTTAGAATGTCTTAAACAATTTTTCTTTTGCAAATTCACTCCCTAATTATATTATGCTACTAATTTGACCCCTCAACTCTCTGAAAGCAACAGATTCATGGGAACTCTTTGAACTTGAGAACTGCAGTTGCAAGTTAACAGAACCAATTTTGAAATACATTGAAGGGCTGGAATACTGTTTAGTCTATTGTCTCTTTATTGGGAGAATTACAGTGTCCTGGCTGGCTAGTTTTAAATGTGTTCACGTTGGCTTTCAAATATCATATCTTCCAAGTTAAGAGGGAACTGGAGAGGAAGCATAAGTTACTGGCTCATAGGGACTTTTTGGGGACATTGAATAGCTTATGGCTCTGCTAGTTAAAAAAAAAAAAGAAAGAAAAGGACAAGAAACAGTCTCCTGAGATGATCCCAGTTTCATGAGGAATTGGATGTAAGTACTCCAGAACACCATTGGTGAGTTTTCTAAGCTGAGGTGAATCACACAGTCCAGGTGACTGGGAAAACTTAAGTGGGCAATAGCAATTACCTAGAAAATCTGGAAGCAGAACATGGCACCCCAAAATAAGCCTCTTTGGCATAATGATGATTTTGAGCTGAAGGCAATCGAGGCCAGAAGATTCAGGAAAAGCTTTTTACGCCCCTCCCCTCCCAACTTAACTGCCTAAAAGAATTTAGAGGGTCCTGCAGAGGAAGAGAGCTACTACCAGAGATAACCTTTTATATCAGATTTATCTGAACGGCAGGGAAAACACTGGCTTACCAAATATTTACTCTTCTCATCTTCCTATGAATTGTCTCCCTCCTTTTCGAAGCCCAGACCCCCATTCTTTTCCTTAGCTCAAGAACATTATAAACTTCAATTGCCTAACTACCTTGGAGTCTTATATTTTTATGGTGCTCCTGTATGTATAAAATTATTATTTTTCTTGTTAATCTGTCTTTTCATTATGGTGGGAGGGGGTGGGTCTCAGTCAAGAACCTAGAAGGGTAGAGGGAAAGTTATTTTTCTTCTCCTACAGCACATTGATCTCAGTCCACCCCAGCGAAAGATTCCCAGACCAGAAAACACATCCCTTCCCTCCTCCCATTGTTCATGTATGGTTCAATCCAATACTGCTCTAGGATGTTGGGGTAAATAGAGTATTATTTATCAATTGACAGAAATGACTTTAAGAGAATTCTCAGATATAGCTTACTCATTGA